GCTCAACAGAAGGGGCTTCATTTTCAACACTTCCAAGGACACACCAATACTCGTATGTCCTGGGGAGAAGCCCATGACAATATGAAGACAGACTAAACATGAAGCTATTCCTGGGTCTGATGGAAGGGTGTTAATGATAGAGATGATTCTGGATTCCGGGTATGAGGTTAACACTTCCCTATAGACCACACACAAGTCTACCTCTGCAGCTCCCCCAAGAGCCCATGATCACCACTGTCCTTGAGAAAACAAAAGTGACTTGGTGCCAATCTTTCTCAATGTTCACCCGAAAATTGACACCGCTACCTCTTTTGCTTGGCAGAAAGGGAATCCATACTTCAAGCAAGCTCCTGTGCTTCCCCCAATTCTGCAGCCCTGCGACCCTCCAGCTCCCTCTTCAGCGAGGTCAGCACTGGATAAACATCACAATGCACCATAGCCGCTTCACACTGGTTCCCAGCAGTGTCACGAGTTGAACTTCCATGAGTGGTCAATTTTACTTGTGTGACTAGGCATAATTTCACACACAGAGGCTTATATTAACTCCGGGCAGAATTTCACTATGCCACAAAGTTTGTCCAGTTAAGTCTTCCACAATGGATCAAATTTTTTAGCTTAAAAAAAATGAAGTGTAACAGCTGATTGGAGAAAACATAAAACAATTGAGCAGAGTGCAAACAAGAGTGAAAGCCAGGTGAAGGGATACACGAGTTATCCTGAAATCACGACCCCCTCCCCGCACAAAAAGGTGCATTAGTTATCGAGTGGCAAAAACCAGGACAGCTAAGAAATCAAGAGAAGCGAGACAATCTGTACAGAAACTAACAGAAATATACATAGACGATGTCACTAATGCACCATTTAGTCACACTTTTTTCTTTTTAAATATACCCACAGGTTACCAGAAAAATCTTGAAAACCCCTATATATTTTTTTTCTCTTTTTCTCCATGACCAGCACTTCCTGGCCGCCGGTAGATTCTAAGTAACTTTCTGCTTAATGCTTGGTGCTTCCGGTCGATGATCCTTCCTCTCTGACACGTTGCGCTTGACCTTGGCAGTGACTGGAGAGGAATCTGGATTCAGGGAAGGGCTCGAGTGGGACTTCTTCAGGCCGGTGCCCTCGCTTTCACTGGTACTCAGGAGCTCCTTGCCTCCCTCTTTGAGGATGCCCACGTAAATGTCGTAACGGGTTTTCTGCAGAGAGACAGAGAAGAATGGGAGCCAGTGAAGGTTTTGCCAATGCACACAGGTCACACACCATGTATGCTAAAAACCGGGGGTGGGGTGGGGTGACTGGCTCTGGAAGATTCAACTTTCTTCCCCAAACAGACAAATTACTTGGCCACATGACAGGCAACATTTCATGGAGATGAACTGGCATCCAGCCATCATCCAGCAGGATGATGAACAGGGAGCTAAGCGAGAACGTGGGTCTCATTATTCTACATTCTGAAGGAATGAATGTCAACTAGGAGTTACTGGCACAGAAGGATCTAACTTGGAAGAGGTGCAGCCCCAGGTTTGGGCGCAGAGCTGCAGCCACAGGAGCCTCAGTCACTTGAGCGAGGCCTGACTTGGGCTCCAATGGGATCGTCTCTCCTGTCCTTCTCCCTGTAGCTCTCAGTGATTCAGGACACACACTGTTCTACGGTGCAGCCTGTCTCCACGGCTCTCCAGGACCACAGTGCCTCCAGAAGCTGCTCTGGGTCTCTCCATGGTTTTCCTACTAGAGGTGACTCGGTTCTCAGAGTTGTTTACTGTGGTTTCTAACAAAAATTCACATTCGTTTCCCATCCCTTTCCCCGTCAACACAACTAATTTCAGCCATTACATATTTCTTCCAGGACAGAGTAGGTACTATGATTCACATGTATCCCTGACGGCCTCTCTCGTTATATCGGGCTAACTTTGTCTAAGGGTCAGTGGGAAGAAGATCGCAGAGGTGGTTCCCCCCCCTCTCTCGATCTTTATTTAGGGAGCCCTTGTAGTGTAACAGCTACCTACTGGGCTGCTGACCTCAGGTCAGCAGTTTGAAACTACCAGATTCTCCTCAGGAGAAAGACAAGGCTTTCTACTCTCGTAAAATTAAAGTCTCGGGAACTGACAAAGGCAGTTCTACCCTGTCCTACGGGGTCGCTGTGGAAAGGCATTGACTCGCTGGCAGTGAGCTTTGTTTGGTTTTGTCCGTATTTGCTGCTGGCTGATGCCCTAGCCCCACCCCTGTCCCCATTCTCATCATGTAAAGCCACTATACAGGACCATTGTACACATTGGAAGTTACAGATACTTTGATTAGATAAATATTCTAGTCAAAATTCACCTTGGATTATACTGCTTTACACATGAAAGACTTCTATAAGGCCTGTAGTGTCTTACTTCTAAATAACAAATTGTCCCACCAAAGGCAGGCAGAATTTGTTATGACTATAAATCAAGCCACTACTCATGAAGTTATTTTTGTTGGTAGAGTAAAGCACTATATCCTAAGTGTGACAATACATTTTAATTGATACAAATCCCGAGTTTAATAAAGGAGTAACAGGGAAAAAGCAGACAACAACATGCCAAACATTATCTCAGAAAGCTACATAGCACTTAATAAGGGCATTTACTAGCTAAAGATGTCACCAGTATTATACACTTCCGTTTATGCGTCCATGGAATCAGGGGATTCCCCTGGAAGATAAGTCAAGGGCATGTTGGCACTGAAGTCGTAGTCAGCCTAGGAATTTACTACTTGATCCGTCTCTAGACGACTTCGGTGGCAAGATTAAGATGAAGGAAAGACCCATTCCTCACCCAGGAACAAAGATAAGTACAATGATCTAAAGGCAGGTTCAAAAATATCCAGGACGCCAGTGTAAGGAACACTGTTTCACAAAGTTTGGGCACTCACACATTGAAAGGGGCTGGAAAGACTTTGTTCCCCCTTTTTAAAAGATGACTTCAAAGGAGACAAAAGAGGCGAAGGCGATAGCGCCAGTCTTCTCCCGGCTTTGAAGAAACCAACACCTCTGGGAAATGCACCTGAGAAGTGCCCGGCGGACCCCATTTTATCCATGTGAACTCTGCGGCGCCAGCTGCAAAACTGCAGTCTCAAATAAACTCCGTCAGTGTTTATTTGTCCGTCCATCCATAAACAAAAGGCTGGTCAAGCACAAACCCGTTGCAAGGCACGCGTCGCTGGATTAGAAGCCAAGACACAGGTAGAAAACAAAACTGTTGTCAAGAGGCACGTGAAGAAGGAAGCTCCTGAGCTTGTGCACCTGCATGGGCTGGCGGTTACCGAGGTACCAGGAGGAGACCACAAAAGGCAAGTGACACAGTATTTCCAACTACCGAGTCCCGCTTTGATGGAAACCAAGCCTCTTGCACATCTCTTAGGAAAGCAGCTCTCTGGCCTGCTCAGCCTCTGCAGACGATGGTTTGGAAAGGACGCATCCCGACCCAGAGGTCCAGGAAGACGGCTCTGACTGACGCGGTCAGTAGAAATGAGGAGAACTTCACAGGTTCCCTCTTTATGGGGGGACTAGGGAGGAGCCAAGAGTGATGAAGTAAGATCATCTCGACCTTTGCAACAAAATGATCTCTTTGGCAGTATTACTTCATTTTCTCCTTTCCCGGCCGACATGATCCACCCTGCCCCCTCCCCCCAAAAAAGACCAGTAGTAAAGATTTATGTTTTAAGTTAAAGCCGTTATATGAAGATAAGAGGAACCTGGAAGCATCAAAGATCAAAGGCACCGACAAGCAGCTGACTAACCGTCAAACAGTCAAACTTGACAGAAGCCGTCGATATGGCACTAGGGCAGCTACTGCTTCCTGCTTCCTAACAGCTTCTTCTTTCCTGCTAATGGGATTGCTTTTTACTGAGGGTGTCCATGTGCCCAGCCCCAAACATGGTAGTTGATTTCTCTTTGCCAGCCTCCCTTGTAGCTAGCGATGGCTATGTGGCCAGCACGTGGACGTAGAAGTCTGCTAGGGTACTTCAAAGGAAACAGCTTTGCCATCCTGGTAAAAAGAGGTTGATGGAATGTCTGGCGTTATGGCAGGCATTTTAAAACCGTGAAATGAAAATACAAAAGCCAATGTGTAAAGGATGGTGGATTTGAAATTCAGAAAGCTTGTAGGTCTTAGATGGTAACATGAAGCAGCTAGTAAACAACCCATTTCCAGTGTGAAGTGGATACTGTCTACACTGTTTTAGTGGTTAAATTTTCTGTTATTTTCAGTCAAAATCATGCTTAATTGAATAAACAATGGACATGCAGTTTGAGACAGTAGAATTGCCTGTGGGTTTCTGAGGCAGTAAATCTGTCTTGGGGCAGAAAGGGCATCTTTCTCCCTCAGAGCTGCTGGTGGAGTTGAACTGATGACCTTGTGGTTGGCAGCCCAACTCAGGACCTACCACACGAGGGCAGGGCTCCTTTTTTTTCCTAACACTTAACCAAAATTTTGAGTTTCATGCCAGTTTCTAGGTATTGATTAGTATCTTACCTTGGGAGCAAACAGGAAATTACTTCTTTAATTTAGAATGAGGACATTTGATCAAAACACTTGGCTCCTTGCCTCTTCTTTCTCTGTAACCCATACCCACCCTGTGTCAGCAGCTCGTGTGGCTCCATGGTCAACAGACACTCAGAATAGGACCGTTTCTCACTTCCAGTGCCTGGACTTACAGGAGCTTCCTAACTGATCTCCCTGCTGCCCTCTCTGCCCACTCTCACACTCGATTCCTGAAACAGTGTCCTGTTAAAATGACACCAGAGAACATCCTCTGTGCGCCAAATGTCCCAACAACTTCTTCTTTTAACCCTCTCTCTCAACCCCACTGCCTTAAAATGACATAGAAACGACACAATCTGTGCTACCTTTGCCTACTCCCCTCTCGTTCCTGGTCTGAGCTCACCCAGCTGCTCCCCACCCTGGGTCACTGCAGCACCAGCTCAGCTTCCTGGCTGTCCCTGAACACCTGGGCACACGTCTGCTCCAGGCCCTTTGCTGCTTCGTAAAGCCCTTAGCCCAGACTTCATCCCTCTCACTCCCTGCCCACTCCAGGCCTGCACTCGGGTCACACCCACGGAGGCCCTCTCCGTTCACCCATCTGCAATTGTATCCACCTCAACCTCTCTGTGCTGCTTGATTTTTATCAACCAGCTTATACTCCCCTCCAACAAAATAAAACCTTGCCTTTTCACATGATTGCATGATTTCATTACGATGAACTACATCCCAGTAAAACAATTTAAGCAGACAAACAAACAAACAAACAAACAAACATCTTGCTATCCCCCATGCTGCTTAGTAGATGGCAGCTGCATGGTGGGAAGGGCTTTGTTTTGTTCCCTGAGGTGTCTCACGGACCTAGCACAGGGCCTGAGTACACACACACGGAATAAGTCTGTGTGGAAGGTAGGGGGTAGGGAGAATAAAGGAATAGCATTTCACAGCCTTGGCTGGCGGTGTAGTGGTTATGTGTTGGGCTGCTCACTGTCTGGTCAGCAGTTCAAAACCTCCAGCCGCACCACAGGAGAAAGATGAGGCCTTTTATTCACATAAAGAGTGACAGTCTCAGAAACCCACAGGGGCCGTGCTACCCTGTCCTATAGGGTCGCCATGATTCTGAATTGACTGGATGGCAATGAGTTTGAGTTTTTGAGTGGACGAGTCATTCCTATTGGGATTGTTCAGTGTGGCATTCTCTACAAAAATGAAAACACAGACAATCGTGGCCTGAAGCACTCCTAAGTCGGGATCCGTGTGTTCTGCCACTCTGATGGTTTCCGTAACTGACACAAAGGTCTGACCCTGTGTGTGGTGCCCCAAGGCCCAGGAGTTGCCCCTTAGCAAAGGTCTATCCACACCCACTGATGGTGCCTGTCCATTCTCCTTGCCCAGCAACCCCACGTGACCAACCCACGTAGATGCAGGCTGCCCTGCTCAGCTCTGAGACTATTTCTGCAGAGAAAAACAAGCAGTTCCTGCCACGGTTTTGAGGTCCCAGACAGAGCCTTTTATTTCTGAGCATTTCTTAGCTATCAGTAAATAAGCCAGGGTCAGTTTTTCTTGCCCACGCTGAGCTTAAAAAGAGAGACTGACACTGGGCCTGGTGCACGGGGACTCACTCTGGGGCTTCCTCCTCATTTGAATAGTTAACAGGCTGCATTTTGACCCGCGTGCAGCCTTCAGATTCA